ATACTTTTTGTATCATGCAAAGGATCTAATATATAAAAAGCATATAGTGGGACACCTGGGTGGTTTAGTCGGTAAGCATCTGCCTTCAGCTCAGGTCATGATCCCAGGGTCCTGGGATGAGTCCTGCATCAAGCTCCTTGCTCAGCTGGGAGTCTGCTTCTCTCTCTGCGTGCTGCTCCCCCTGCTTGTGCACTCTAGCTCTCTCTCTCTGACAAATAAATAAATAAAATCTAATAAATAAATAAATAAAAAGCATATAGTTAATGCTCAGCTTTGAAGATATTAAAAATTGAATGTGCTTATTCAAGTGTAATGATAGAACTGAAAGTGATCTTAAAATGATTTAATTTCTTCTTTAGCTCCTCAAAAAGATCTTTTCTCAAAGATTTGTTTTTCATGGGATAACTTTATATGGCTTATCTCACACAAAAACTTTATAAAGAGGGGCACCTGGCTGTCTCAGGTGATAGTCCATGCCACTCTTGATATCAGGGTTCTAAGTTTGAGCCCTGTTGGATATAGAGATTGCTTAAAAATAAAAATCTTTAAAAAAAACTTTATAAAGATAACTTCTTTATTTTGCCTTCTCCAGGACATATTACTACTTGATACTCCTTTTGATCCTAACTCTACATACTGTTTTCTTTAGATATTTAATCACATCTCAGATATATCCTTCATGGTGATATGTAGGCTCCTGAGGGAAACTACAGACTTCTTTCTAAAATACAAATACACATGTGCACAGATATTTTTTTCACATACATTTATGAAGACCATCCATGGATGTTCACTCATTCTTGTCTTTTTAAGTGAGGCATCCAGTAACTATTACAAGGATAGATGGTCACTTGTATCTCCTTCCTGAATACGGAGATGATAATATGGAATGCAGTAAGTGGTAATGGGAAGAGTAATGTTGATAAAACAATGAAATGGCAAACGATCATTTCAGGGACCTTTAACTTTTTAAAGGGCTTTAATTAATTAATGCAGACCTAAAATGGCTTTAAAGAAGCTGACCACAAATAGAAAAAAAAAAAAAAAAAAAACTCTCTTGCCATGTGATTTGAGGCTAATCTAAATTCTCCTTCATTAAACATCTTTCCTCAGTTGATACATTCATCAGGATTTCCTTAAGAGAAAACATACAAAACATACAAAAAGAGGTTAATCCTGGGAAGTCTGGAACCAGAAAGAATAAAATTATTGGCACCCAAAGAAGGGCCTAGCCATTTCTAGGAAAAACTGCCTCTCTCACAATTTTTTGTTAAACCACATTTTTTTTTTTAAAGATTTTCTTTATTTATTTGACAGAGAGACACACAGCAAAAGAGGGAACACAAGCAGGGGGAGTGGGAGAGGGAGAAGCAGGCTTCCCATGGAGCAGGAAGCCCGATGCAGGGCTCGATCCCAGGACCCTGGGATCATGACCTGAGCGGAAGGCAGACGCTTAACGACTGAGCCACCCAGGCGCCTCTTGTTAAACCACGTTAACATCAGGATGTGGATATATAATGATTTCTCATTGTGTACCAGTTTCCTTTTCTCATAGACTGAACAACCTTGCTAAATGAGATTAAAACCACAGAACTCAAACAAGATGTGTAGAAACTCGAATAATGTACACGCTCTTGTAGGTGATTATAAAATCAAATTCTAATGCTAAATAAATATAGTCTACAATATTTATCATTTGGGTTATGTTTGCTTCAACTGGTATAAATAATTGAGCTGTGAGGTAACTTTAAACATCCTAATTAATATACATGTAATTGGAGTCATGGAAAGAGAGGAGTGTGCCTAAGAAGGAAATGTGCATCAGATGGAAATGTGGATCTATACAAAGGAATGAAGATGCCAGAGGATGTAACTACATGGGCAAATATAAAAGATTTTTTTAACATTTAAATCTGTTTAAAAGATAATTACCTCACCAATTTTGACAAATATATACTAATATGTTAGTAAAAGGAGTTTGGAAAATATGGCTAGTCTTTCTAGCTTCATAAATTTTCTGTAAATCTAAATGTATTTAATTAAAAAGTTTATTTTAAAAAAGATAACTCACTGAAACCAGAATAATGACATTGTAGTGTGTTACTAATAACATATATGGAAACAAAATGTATGACAACAATAGCACAAAGGCCAGGGAAGGGAAAGTAGAAGTATACTGTTTGAAATTTCTTATACTATAAGAGAAACGGCTTAATATCTCTCGAAAGTAGACTGGGATATATCAAAGCTGTATATTCTAAGCCCCCAAACAACCACTAAAGTAAAAAGAATGATAGCAAATAAACCAACAGGGATAAAATATTATCATACATAGTACTAAATTCAAAAGAAGACCCCAAATAAGTAAAAAAGAAAACAAAAATAGATAGGACCAATAGAACAACAGCTAAATGCGAGACTTAAATTCAAACATATCAATTATCATATCAAATGTAAATGTTTTAATTTAAAGGCAAATATTGTCTGGGGTGCCTGGATGGCTCAGTCAGTTAAGCATCCCACTCTTGATTTCGGCTGGGGTCGTGATCTCAGGGCCATGGAATCAAGCTCTGTCTTGGGCTCTACACTTAGGAAAGTCTGCCTCTCTCTCTTTCTCTCTCCCTCTGCCCCTTCCCCTGCTGGAGCACATGCACACTCTCTCAAATAAAGAAAATCTTAAAAAATAATAATAATAAAGGCAAATATTGCCTGATTGAATAAAACATCAAGATCAAGCTATCTGTTGCCTAAAAGCTCATTTTATATACAAACACACAAGTTAAAAGTTCAAAGACCTTGTTATAGACTGATAAAAGAATAGATAAGGTACAAATTACTCACGTCAAGAAATAGAGGTTTCACATCACTGTAGATTCTAGTATAAGTTAATATTATAAATAACTTTATGCCTATAAATTTGAAAACTTAGATAAAAGGACCAATTTCTTGAAAGACATAAACTACCAAAGCTCACTCAAGAAGAAATAGATAATCTGAATAGCCCTATAATTATTTTTTAAAAATTGAATTTTATAATTACAAACCTTTCTACAAAGAAAACTTCAGTCCCAGATGGTTTCACTGGTGAATTCCACCAAACATTTAAAGAAGAAATAATATGAATTTTACATTAACTACTCCAGAAAATTTAACAGAAGGGAGGGAATACTTGCCAACTCAATCTGTGAGGCCCAAATTACCCTGGTACTAAAACTAAAAAAGATAACATGACTAAAAAAATTAGCCTTCAGTACAGCCATATTAGGTAAAAATATGTTCCTATTTTCATCAGGAAATAAAACAGGAAGAATCTATTTTGATTTTTAAAACTTCAGGTATCAAACATGATAATATGTGTACTTTTATTCTATTGAGAAAATGTAAAGGGAGTATTATTAGGAATCTAGAATTCTTCAAACTGAATTCTTACTAATAGTTTTCTTTTACTATTTTCTATTGTAGTAGATACACCATGAAATATGCTATTTTAACCATTTTTAAGTGTACAACTCTGTGGCATTAATTCCATTCACAATGCTGTACAATCATCACCACTACCTATTTCTGAAATTTCTCATCACCCCAAACAGAAATTCTGTATGCATTAAGCAATAATGATGAATGGTGATTCATCCCTTCTTCTAGATGCTGGTAACCTCTAATATACTCTCTGGCTCTGTGAACTTGTCTATTCTGGATACACACATGGAATTATACACTGTATGTTCTTCTCTGTCTGGCTTATTTCACCTAGCATAATGTTTTCAGGGTTCATTCATATAGCATGAATCAGAAATTTATTCCTTTTGTTTTCATGTATATTTGAAAATAGTTGGCACAAAAAGAGCAAGAGTAGGCATATGATATTTTGATATAATCATTTTGATTCATTTTCTAAGATACTTTCAGTTTTCCTAAATGAACTTTAAAAATATCAAAATTTTGCAACAAACACTATTATTCTGAAGACTCAACCTGTTACCAAGATTTACTCCATTTCTAAGCCTTGTGGAATGAGGAATGAGGTGAAGCTTAGAGATGGGTTATTATGGGGTTCAAGGATAGGTTAGACATTGATAAGAATCATGAACAAGAGAGATAAACAGATTGACAGCAGAGTGGTGGTGCTGAGGGTGTGATACAGTTGAAGTGTATCCGTGGCACATTATGCTTGGTGATAAAAACACTACATTTTATTAGTGCCATATTGATTGATACTTTCACATTTCTGATGTTGAAATAGCCTAATCAACAACATATAATATTTATTCAGTCTAGAGAGAATGCTACCATTACATTTTGATTTGGGAATTCCTTGCAATAAGTCCATGTCACCTCAGGAAACTGGCCCACCAGACAGAACAATTGGGATAGAAATATTGCATCACTGAGACTTCTACTATGGACCATGGTGTCCTTTTACTCTTTTGTTTTTAAAATAAATTTAAAATGTGTTTGTTCCAACTGAGAGAGAACATAGAATCCCAAAGGAAGGCCTGAAAAGAGATGAATAGAGCAGATTTGACATGGGTCCAGTGGTTTTTGTTATTAGTTCTGGAAAGAAAAATTGTGGAAAAGACTAGGTCACCCTCAACCTTTTGGTAGTTGAATCTTTTTTTTTTTTCTCCCCAAAGATTTTATCTATTTATTTGAGAGAGAAAAAGCGAGAGAGATAACAGAGGGAGAGGGAGAAGCAGACTGTTGACTGAGCAGAGAGCCCAATGCGGGGCTCAATCCCAGGATCCTGAGATCATGACCTGAGCTGAAGGCAGCCACTTAACAGACTGAGCCACCCAGGTGCCCCTTGGTAGTTGAATCTTAAGCTCTGGTTCTACATGATACTTGCCACTTGGAAAAGGAAGTAAAAACAAGGAAAGAAGAGTAATGGGAAGACTGGGCTCCTGGAAATGATATATCACACCAAGAAACCAGTCATTGAGGATCTCAGAGACCCAATAGAGATGGTCTAGCATGAACGAACTTTATGGAATAACTTGTACCTTTTCTTCATTTTGTTGAGATTTAATATTCAGAATCAAGGACTTCATTAGTTACTCGATTTCTTGAATTCAGATTTCTCCAAAGCACAAAACAATCAGAAGGAATTATAGTATTGGTATATTTCTATAAAAAGTAAAATGCATTTAAGAATATTTTTGTAAACTAATTTCCCAAGTTAAATATTTTAGATGGAAAACAGAAAAGGGAGGGGGCTGGAGACAGCCTTTATTGAAATAGGTGAATTAGATAATAGTACAGGTCTTCGATCATGTCTACATAGCAAAAATAAATTGGTAATACAATTAATTTATTTTAACCAATATTATCATTCAACTTATCCAATGTATACTAATAAATATTTTTGAAAACTCTGTTCTAGGTACTTCCCTTCCTTTTTCATATTGTCTTTCCTGCCCTTTACTTTTTTACTTTGCATTTTTTTTTCTGCTAATTAGGTAGTGATAGGAGGTGAAATCTGTCTTAAAAGTTTGTGACACTGAACTTAAACCAACCATTTCTGAAGAATATATAAATATAGCACATTTACTATTTGGTTAGTTGCTATGTATTCTGGGAATAAGTAAAGCCTTTGGAACTTGGTCTTTTCTTCCAGTAGTTAGTCATCTTGTCCAATTATCTTTTGAATTTGAATAATACAGATAACAAAGATCAGGAAATTAATTCTGAAGAAAAGAGTAAATTAATGTTATGAAAACTGTAATTTAATACAAAAACAATTTTCCACTACATAATTTTATCTTTTAATTTAGCAAAAATGTTTATAAAAGAAGCTTCTAGTCAAAATAGTTGTATGACCAACATGCAAGTGAAGCCCTAGAGTTACAGACAGTCAATCAGACCAGCAAGCACTAACTGAGGGCATAATTCATTTGGACAGGAGCCACATTTCCCAGAGGGATGTTGATCTAGTCATTGGAGGTAAAACAAATTCTTAAATATATCAGACTATACCTTTAAAAAAAACAAAACAAAACAAAATTTGTGCCATTCAGCACACCTATAGAAAGAGGAACCAAATAGTAATGGGTATGTCATTAAAATTCTCCAACAAGATTCTATGGTCAGTCACCTAAAGACAAATTTGGTTTCCCAGTATAACTATTCAAATTGTTAAAAGTATTTTAAAGTTTTGGTTTTATGTCTATAATGTTAATTATCTGTATGTACATTAATATTTTTAATCTCTGTTGATCCCTATGAATATTTTATATCATTTTTATTAACCCATAGTCTCCAAATTAAATTGCATACTCCAACACATTTTCAAAGACATTATTCACTTTTTAGTTTAAAGATAAGATGAGATACAGATAATATGTCTTGAAATAATTATCAGTAGAATGATGAATTAGAAAAAATCTAAAAATGTTTAGGAAAGGATTTTGTTAGGTTTAAAAACTTTGCAATATCTCAAAATTGACACGTTTCCCTTCTGACGTAAATATTATGCTTTTACACATAAAATATGACTCTCTGGGCTGTATGTTTCCTGCTTGGGTTCTGCCCTTTGTGTTTATCACACAATTTACAAAGTCATTTTGTGACTAATTTCCAGAGCACTGTGACTCAGTGTGGCTGTTGCTTATCTTTTCTTTTTTTCCTACATGGCACTGCTCTTGGCCTTCATTTTTTGGTAATATACAAATGAGCTTTCTCCATAATTAAAATAACTTTGTCTCATTATAGTTCTGTGGTTGTGTACTTCTATATTATGTGCTTTTATTTACTACCAGAAGCAAATTTTAATGTCGTTTCATAACCAACATGAACATGACAGAACATCATGTAGGTATGTGATCTATTGCTTTAATTAACATAATAGCACCATCTGTAGTGCAATTCTTATTCTTACATATTCTTATTTAAGTATCTTAGGATATGAGCTCTGGTCTTCAAAGACTTGTAAAGCATTTCCTTAGACAGATTAGTTACTGTAGGCATAAAATATTTAATTTAGAGTACAAGAATTCTAATGTTTATACTTCATTCTAACTATCAACAATTAAAAGCAATGAAAAAAAATTTCTTTAAACATGCTAGAGAGTCTCCTGATCATATTTCTTTGCGTGTTAATAAATAATATTTAAAAGTAAACCAAATCTTCAGGAAATTCCAATTAAAGAGATACAATAAGTAAAGAATTGCCACTACAAGCTGAAAAATTTAAGAAAGGCTACATCTCACCAACTTCTGACAAAAATGTTCAAGGATTTAAAAGCATCAAGATATACTGCATATATATTTGCTTAAGAAGACAAAGTGCTGAGAACTTAATTTTGCATTGCAATATGAGTTTACTTTGTTTACAGAGAAGGGTCAATTTTCATTGTAGGTTAAACGACGATGGTCCTCCCCTACCAGGCTTTGCCTCTCAGGACCCTGCTTTTCTCCCAAGAAAAAAGAAATAAAGGTTATTTCTCATGGGCTAGAAAGTATATTGCCAAATACTCACGAGTAAAATCTCTCAAGAAAGTTCTTGGAAAGATTTTTTCAAAGCCGAGTTGAGGTTATTTTGTTTTCCCTTCCAGGCGTTGAAGAGAGGATTTATCTTTTCTACTTCTTTTAAACAAACAGATCAAGGAACTGGGGAGTGGAGAATAGTGAAAGAAATGTAATCTGATCCTGCCAGCAGTGAAAGGGCGAGGTAAGAATTTGACGATTATACAGCCCAAAGTCGCTCCTGTCTATTGGAGCAAAGGGGGAGCCTCAGAGCTGCTTTCAGAGATCACTGGCTTCCTGTTTAGGTCACTCCAACAGTATTTAGGCTAATTTTGCCAAACTCTTTGAAAGGCTTTTCTTTTATGGACTAAACAAAGGAAACAGCTTACACTAAGAATTCACAATTACTCTCCTCGAAGAACTCTTTCTTTTACTTTCTAGGATTCCTTTTGTAATCAGTTAAAAAAACGAAACACTTTTTCCCCCATAGTTATATATTTCTAAAGCAATATATATAGTATTTTTACATGTTACTTAATAAAATAAACTTTTTTTTCCAGTTTGTTTTTTCTTCAAATTATTTTATCCACATTATCGGTATACTTATGACAAAATCTGGGGGCTACTGAAGTTTCCTATGATTAGAGAGGCCATGTACTGCATTTTCTGTTGCAGCATGTCGGGCTGTGAACCCTGCATCTCAGCTAGTTGCTAGTTTTGCAACTTTGGTCAATTATTTAAACTCTCTGTGCCTCTGTTTCTTTTTCCCTAAAATAATGATAATCAAAGTTCCTAAGTTTGATATAAGTTAAGTAGTAAATGGATTAATACGTATAAATATATGTATACATATAACGTATGTAAAGTGCTTGAGACAGGCTCCACACATAGCAAACCTTCAAAAAATGTTAACTATTGTATTTGTTACTATTTATTGTTTGATGATGATGATATTAACATTTCACCTGATTTATAAATACTTAAATATGTCCGTTTGCTCTGCTGTAGGCTGCTGTCATTGAGATTAACCTTTAGTATTTTCATAATGGAATTATGGTCATATCAGACTAAGATCACTAGAGCTTTCCCAGCATGTCATAATCTACTATGCCATGAAGGCCTAAGTCATTTGATCAGAAAATCCATCAGTTTCTTGTTTTTTCCATTTCAAAATGATTGTCTTTGTGCCTTCAACTTTTTTTACTTCATTTCTTTGATCTGTGGGTAAGGGGTAACTTTTCTTCTGTGTTTTTAATATTTATTGAATAACTATTAGGTGTCTAGTACATAAATTACCTTATCTAATTCTCACAATTAGCTTATGAAGAAGGTCCTCTATGATGTATGTGCCCAGGGCAGGCCACCCAAGATGGCCTACTTTGGCATGAAGATTACTTTTTAGTTAAAAGCAATCAAAACCCAGCAGATTCAGAAAAGGCTATTTACCTCCAATACAATCGCCTAAAAGAATTTAGATAGAAGACCTGCTCCAGGAATAGAGCTATTGCTAGAAATAACTACATTACAACATGAATAGGCATGGTAGAGAAGAACCTAGCAAGACCTGTTGAATCAAAGTCTACTGGGTCTCATTGTTTCTGATAATCCTGCAAACATTTGTTTACCAAACATTTGCTCTTTTTTTATCTTCTGGTAAATTGCATTCCTTTCTTTTGAAGTCCCAGACCCCCACTCCCTTCTCTTTGTTCAGAATGACACATATACCTCATTTTGCCTGACTGTCTTTGGAATTTCCATGTCTGTGGATCACCCATATGTACAAAATTAATTTGATTTTCTCCCATTAATCTGTCTCATGTCAATTTAATTTTTATTCCGCCTAGAAGGACCTTGAAGGACCAATAAAATTCTTCCTTCCTGACAATGGTGTAGGAGAAAAAAAAATAATTTTCCCTCTACCCTTTTAGGTTCTTGGCTGAGACAACTCTGTAATAAAAAGATTAACAAGAAAAAAACAACAGAAGTTTAATCACATGTATACCTTCTGTATACCTGGGGGATACCTAGGAAAACTGAATAAAACTGAAAAACTGAATAAACTGAAATGGCCCAAGCCACCGCCTTAAACATCTTTAAAGACAAAAGATAATGTTGGGGGGTGGGTGAGCCAGTTATGGGAAGCTATTGGGAAAAGACAGTAAGTAACCAAGGATTAGGTTGCAAATTTAAGTCCTTGCCTTCTCCGTTGATAAAAAAAAAAAAAAAAAATTTCTAGAGATTTAGTTATCCTCCTCTTTCTGCTACAGAGAGGGAGAAACCTGGATAGACATAAAGTAAATGTCCCTTAAGAAAGGGTAACTTCACTTTCAAAGCTTTTCCTGGGTCTGTCATTTTTAACTAACTGAGCCACCCAGGCGCCCCCTGGGTCTGTCATTTTTAAAAAAAATAGTCACCCTAAGTAGGAGATTCAGACTTTCAGTTATGGAATGAATAAGTCAGGGGGATAAGAGGTGCAGCATAGGGAGTATAGTTAATGGTGTTATAATGATGTTGTATGCCTGAGCTCTACAGCAAAGTCCTTTCTAGGTCTAGGCAGCACACAGTGGTGAGCATAATGATCAATCACTGTGTTCTACCTGAAACTGAGGTAAAATTATCAGCTACATGCCAATTAAATAAAATTAAATAAATTTAAATAAATAAATAGTTATAAACCAAGCCAATGAAATATTAAATAAAATATGTTCTATCTTTCTAACTTGGCAAACAAAACAAAACAAAACAAAACACCCCAAAAACAAAACCAACAAACTGAAAAAAACAGCCTAAATAATCCTCATGCCAAAGAAGCTTATTTTGGGGATGACAAATTCCACTCCCTTTCAATGGCCATTTCACGGGTTTGGGAGGGTGAGTATGGTTTGTGGAGCTCTGATTCAAATCATGTGGTCTGACTTCAAAGTACAGACGTTTAAATATTCTTTTGTGCTCCTTTCTCACACATATTCTGTATTTCACACCAAAATAAAGCTTTGCTGTGTGTTGAAATTTCAGTTTTAACAATGAAATGTTGCTGCATAATTGTGATCCTTTATTACCTCATACCCTGCCACTCAAGCACATTCAGTGTTCCCTTCTTATTCTGATTGTTGAGGAAAGTTGCCTGTTTTTGCATTGGAATGAACACTGATTAATTTTTTGGCTAATCTACAGTCAGATTTCTTTTTTGGAACTTGAACTAAGAGCTATAGAAAAAGTATACAGGAAGTGCCAAACTCTTAACTAAAAAGCTGAGAGAAGAAAGGTCTGGCAGCTGTAGTGGTGTGTGCAAGATGATTATGTGCAGAAGGCCAGGTGAGAGAGAATGGTGAAAAGAATGAACGAAAGAGAACAGAACGTGAGGCCTCCTGGAGTCAGGGAAAGAATGAAAGTAAGAGCAAGACTGGGAGCAGGAGAGGTGAGAGAGGATGCCTGAGCTCTACAGCAAAGTCCTTTCTAGGTCTAGTTCAAGTTCTCCTAAGTACTCAGAAACATATATCCTTGTATCAATCCCTATTTCCCTTGTTAAAAAGAAAACCACAGGCCCAAAATGGCATCACTTAGGCCAAGTCACTAAACTGGGGCTTAATACCTAACTAATTGCAATTTCAACCTCCCCGCAGAAATGTAAATCTTAACTGGTTAGTCAGGAACTTCTTGATAAGCACCAGTGAGGTGATCTGTCACCTGGGCCCTCCACATTCCCCAGTGGCAGACAGTTCACCTAATAAGACCTCCTGCCCTTAAACCTAAGGAAAGGTGACCTTACCTGAAACAATCCTTTCTTTTCATTTGCTAACAACTTTCTTGTTCCACCCTCCTTCCTATAAAAACCTTCCATTTTTCCTCCAATTTCTTGGAGCTCTCCTCTATTTTCTAGATGGGATGCTGCCAAATTCATGAATTGCTTGATAAAGCCCATTAGATCTTCATATCTACTTGGTTAATTTTTGTTCTTTAACACCCTGAAGTCATTTAAGAAATCTGTTTTTTATTATGTAAAGAACTCTATCTGAAAGAGCGACAGCTGAGCTGAAATAAATTTCCTAGAGATCTTCAATTTCATATCTATGCTGCACTTAGCATCAATGAAAACTTTTTACCATTTTGTTTCCATATAGCTTACACAAACTGGCATTTTCTTGTCCTGAAGAGAGCCTGGGGACATGATGGAAAATTATTGTTAAGACAGTCTGTCACTAACAGCTCTGTGGACTCAGCTTTTCTCTTCCCTGAGCTTTGCCTGAGCGCCTTCTTATGGTTTTACCACCAGTTTACATTCCACTGTATACAAGTCTAAGTCGAAATTAGTTGGAGAAAAATTTTTTTTCTTACCAGCAATTCAACTATTTGCCATTTTGTCTTAAAGCTCTTTGTATCTACCAGTATCTGGAAGTTTCAAGTACCTACCAAATACTGGGTACTTTCCTTTTCATTCTTTACCATTCTCTGTTAATTTTTGTCTTCCAACTCTCACACAGTTCAAATAACATTCCAGGCTCTTACTATGAGTTTATTTCTTATCCAAGCTATCAAACAGTCTTTTTTTTTCTTTATTTGTCCTATGTATCAGAAAACATTTCCTAATTTTATTCATTAAGAATCTTGTCCATTAAGACAAATTGAATGTTTCAACAAGTTCAGGTAACTCTATATGAGTGAGACAAATCTGGAAGGAAGTTAGCTCCTTAAAGGAATTGTCACAAGAGTACACATTGTTGCAACATAGAGAACCACAAAGTTAGACAGGATATTAGAAACCAAATTATACAGAAGTTTTTATAAACATCTTAAAATCAAATTTTATCACATAGAACACTCATTTCATGCATTTCTGTCTACTCTGAAGTATGTGGAAGATTAGATATTCTATTGCTTTATATTTCAGCCAATTCCTTATCACATAGTGTGACTACACAGATCTTTAATTGGATTAGGTGAGAGATGAGTGCTTGAGCTTCTTTCTTCATCTCAGCCTTCATCCCTTTTCAGAATCTAAATCATGTACTGCTTGTAGTTCACTTTCCCGAAAATGGATTTCTGAAAACTGATCAACAAATGGAAACCCTATACGTTTTCAGATTTCAAATGTAAAAAAGACTGATATCTAAATTTTATCAAATTCTATTCATAGAAACTGTGTAATAGGTATGACACGTACCGACATGGGTGCAAAATTGCCTCTATTTCATTATGAACAAAACAAATTTAGCTATGAAGCCCATATTTTTACTAATGTGAAAAAATTGTTTTGTTTTATCCATTAAGTATCTCAATTTTCTTAAATTCCAAAAAGATTTCCAAAAAAGCAATTTCAAAAGCAATTCTTCTCGTAGGGAAACAGGGAACTAGATATATGTCAGGGAGAAAGGGAATATTTAACTTCTTTTTCTACTTTTCTCTGTGATAGATTACATTATTTGTTCAAACATTCTTGCTGCTCCTCCCTTGGGGTCCTTCCTTTATAACCAGGGAAAAGAGTCTATTTTCCCTCCACATTGACATCAAGTTTTGCTATATTGATAGCCTCGGCTAATAGAATGAGCAGATAAAAAACAAATATGGGGCGCCTGGGTGGCTTAGTGGTTAAGCGTCTGCCTTCGGCTCAGGTCATGATCCCAAGGTCCTGGGATCCAGCCCCGCATTGAGCCCCGCATCAAGCCCCGCATCGGGCTCCCTGCTTGGTGGGAAGCCTGCTTCTCTCTCTCCCACTCCCCCTGCTTGTGTTCCCTCTCTCACTGTGTCTCTGTCAAATAAATAAATAAAATCTTAAAAAAAAAAAAAAACAAATAAGCAACAGCTAAACAGATTTTTATAAGCTTTATGGGAAGTTTATGAATTTTCTAGTCCTATACTTCTTTTTTTTTTTTTTCATTTTCTCTGACAGGTGACTCTCATGTCCCACATGAGGGTTATTCATTTGAACCCTTTATTGTGGATTCATAATAAAGAAGAAATGGAGTACCAACACAGATGACCCACAAAGGTGACTGAAAATAAACCCTTTCTTGATAAAAACCCTGTAGATTTGGGGGGTAGTTTGCTCTCAAGCATAACTTAAGCAGAAATGAATAATACACTCTCTACTTATATACCTTCTTCCCTCAAAGATATATTATCTTCACTGCATCCATATTATTATATTATATAACCGTGGATACTGAAGTAAATTGGACCCTTGAACTGCATTTCTTCTGTCTCTCTGAACCCTATTCTTTTTTTTCTATGAACTTCATTGCAGGATATGAAGTAATTTGGGGGGAATGTTTTCTGGAAATTTACTGATGGTAAGCAGCGGCATAAACAAAATTAAAAACCAGTCAATTTGAAATATGTTGCAGCTTGAAGTAAACTCTTGTTTAGCAATAAAGTAGTAACAAAAGGGTTTTTAGGAATTTTATGGTCGCAAACTGACTAAAGTTATAGAAAAACAAGTTCTTCTCTAATTAGGTTGAATCTTCACATGGAAATCAAAATAAGTGCTTACATACAAACTTGAGAACTGGAGTCATTACATTACTTTTGTTTTGTCTAGTTCATATTTTTATTAATAGTATAATTCTTTCTTTTTCGTGAGAATGATTATTGGGAAGTAGTGGTAACAGTGGGACCTTGAAGGTCTCATCATGGCTGAGGGTTATTTAGTGTTCTCAGGAGATCTTCACAGGACTCAGTCATAACTTGCATTATTAACAGGCAGACATCTTGAGCAAATGATTTTCCTTATCAGACAAAACATATTAACTAAGAATATAGGGAAAGCTACATTTTTGTGTCATCTGTGCTTAGGCATTGCATTTCATAATTATTGCTACTTATTGATATTTTTATTTTTTTATTTATTTATTTTATTACTTATTGATATTTTTAAAATGTAATGTCTCAGAGGAAAAACAAAACAAGTTGAATTCCTAGTTTTTTCTTTGTAGATATCTAGAATCAGATATTCTATTAGATAGCATGGTGAGATTACTTAGAACCTTCACTTTCATTAATGTGTTTTTTTCCTAATCTCATTTAGTTTGTCTAACTCCTTCCGTGAGAATCTGGAATGTATATCTGTATCACTAACGCATGAATAAAAAGGTAAATTCTTTTGCTTCTCATTCATGAGTATAGGATTTGTTATACATCTACTTCTGTGAAATAAGTCCCATAGAAGTGACACGTCTGTTAAAAAAAGCATCATACCATCTTAGGTCACAATAATTGATCTATATCATCTAGCATAAGGAAAGTAACATGCCCACTTCACTTTGCAGTATTTTGCTCTCATATCTGGACCAAATTTTAGAGAGCAATTGCCAAAGCAGAGTGTGTTCAGAGTAGTGAGAGAAAACCTGGTTTTTTAAGGCATACACATTGATATATCTTAAAAATACACATGTCTAAAAAAATAGTGATGCAACCTAGGATATTTAATTTTTAGAAGAGAAACTCAAAGTGTGGGGAGTCATAGTATATATTATCTTAAAGTATTCAGGAGATGATTGTGTAGAAACGACAGTAAATTTAATCTATACTGCTCTAGAGAGAAAATAATTAGGTGGATGAAGATATTGGGAACTCATATTTTTAGCTTAAAATTAGGATAACTTTCCTGCCAATTGTAGTTTAAAAAGATAGGATGAGCCATTCTATGATAAGGAGTGTGTCCATTCCTTGAAGTAATAAAGGAGGGAAAGTGATATGTGGAAGCTGTTCCAAAGACATCCTGACATTGGATGAGAGAATTGAACTAAAAGACCTGGAGAATCACCTCCAGTATTGAAAACCCTTGAGTCCTTCTTACTCCTTGATTAACAGTAAGGTTAATATAGCTACACATATAAAAACAATAATATAAATAACAAACATAACAACGATAATTAGTGTTTACTTAAGGCTTACTTGGTGCCAGACATTATTCTCCATGTGTTATATTTAAGAAACCATCATGAAATGGGTAATGTTATTTTCCCATTTGGACATAAAGATAAATGGTTCATTCACTTGTGCAAATTCAAAAAGCTAATAAATGAAAGTGGGATTTGAATCTAGATAGTTTGAATTCTGAGAATACAATTTAACTATTAGGTCACACTACCTCTCTCTTTTAGACATTACGTTACCTTTCTTATATGTTTCCATAGCTATAATAATAAATACTTACTGCCCTTGTTAGTAAAATAGAAAAAAATTTTCTTAAAGCCACATCTAGCAATTTCTAAATTATATATAATCTAGAAATAGAGAAATTCTACATCTCTTATGCAAAAAAATTACACACTGCTTTGTGCATCAGTAGATATTTACAATGATATCAAGTGCAATATTTTTATAAAAATGTAAAATTAAAAACAATTAAAAAACCAATCAACATGGAATAAATAAATTCATTGTGGGAATCATTTGATAGAATATTATTTTGAAAAGTAGGTATTCATGAGTATCTGTGAACATGTTCAGAACTCAAAAATAAATCAGTAAGTAAAAAACGTGGGGCGCCCAGCTGGCTCAGTCAGTAGAGTCTTTGACTCTTGGTCTTGGTGTTGTAAGTTTGAGTTCCACATTGGGTGTAAAGATTACCTTGAAATCTTAAAAAAAAAAAATGCAAAAATCAAGAACATCATTTACCTAACTTTGGAAACACATAGAAGTGATACTGTATATTAAGTAAAGATATATATGTAGTGAAAGGACATGCATTTATGTTAGTTGGTTGTTCTGGAAAGAAAAGAAGAAAAATACAACTGGGAAAAGTTATAAAATATAGTAGAGCCTTCAATTGTATTTGTAACATTTTATATCTTTTATATAACAATACTACATAATACTATATTTTATATAAAATACTATGCAGCAAAATGTAAATACTTTTATAGAAAATATATAGAAAATATGATGATAATGTTAGCATTTATTAATTGTAGATGATCATTACTTGGATTCTCGATATTTTATTATACTTTTCCTTGATTATGAATATTTAAGTTAAAAATCAATTAGAACATATAACAACAAAAGACTAGAAAGAGAACATTTCCACTGTTCATTGTCTCCAAAATGTTTAATTTTTGAAATTCTAAAATCTGCCTAAATGAAAGCAAAAAATACAGCATCAAGGCAACATTAAAAAAAGAATAAGTTCTTGAAACATTATTCTATTTGGCTATTTTTATTACAATGTGACTAAAAGAATAGGGAGTCTTTTACTTTTGTATGAGGCTGTTCTCTTTTATAATTTTCAAAGTCAATTTTCATGAAAGGCAAAAATGTTTCCTGGCTAACTTTACTACCAGTTTCATAGAATTGATAACTGATAAGTGCTCATGTAATAACTACATAGAACTAATAAAAGCGCTCCTCTTCTAAATGTACTGATTTTTCTTTTTAAGAGCCTTTCTCACAAAGGAGGTGACAAGCCTTGGCAGACTGTATGAATTTGAACATAACACTCTCTTTGGCTGTCTGTCCCATGCACAAATACCTTTAGAATTTTACTGTCAGAGGGGGTTTCCTTTTTTCCTCCATTTTGCTTTTATTGTGAGGAAAATGAATGAATGAAGTTCTTTTGGGGGTAGGGCTACTTTACTCTTTACAGACAGAAGCATCAGCTTAGTTGAATGTGAACTGTGTGACTAATAAATGGAAAGCTGAAATAGCATTCTCGGTATGTCATCTTGATACCACTTTAAGTCTTGCAACGTCAAGTATAAGTCTTGGAACAAATATAATGCAGCACAGGAAGAAGCACATAATCTCTTGATAGACCCTGCCCTCAGAGAGCCTGGCTGACTATGATCTTGCCCTGCACTTCAGAGTACAAGAGAACAGCCAACCATCCTCATTCTTCCTTTGATTGTAACTGCAGCTCTCCACACAAAGATCAACTAACTTGAGGAAGACCCAGGTCCTTAGACTCTTCACTCATTCTTTCAGATAAGAACAGAATTTCATTCTGAGAAGGGCTGGGTTTCTGCAAAGTAGGTAATAGCATAGCTGGCTTATTACAACTTTCTCAAATGTTTTGGCCTTCTCAGCAGTTAAATTATGTATTTATCCCAGATTCCTCAACCTTTCCACTATTGACATTTGGGGACAGATAATTCTTTGTTGCAGTGGGCTTTCCTGTGCATTGTAGCAACATCACTGGCTTTCATATATCAGATGCCAGTAGCAAATTCCCCCTTAATGGTGATAACTAAAAAGGTCTCCAGACATTTTTTTTAAGACAGTGAGAGAGGGGGGAGGACGGGGGAGAGGGAGAAAGGGAATCTTAAGCAGGGGCCGTGCACAGTGTAGAGCCCAAAGCAGGGCTTGATCTCATGACCTGAGCTGAAATCAAGAATTGGATGCTTAACCCACTGAGCCACCCAGGTGCCCCTCCAGACATATCTAATATCCCCTAGAGGGCAAAATCTACTTCGAGTTAGAACCATTGTTCTCCCACAAGCCCAATTCTGGCAAACCTAATCTCATTTGGGTGTTCTATCCAGCTGCCTGGTCCTACACTGACTGATGGCATATCCCACGTTCTTCCTCTGAAATTCTACTCTGAGTTTCGGGCCTGTTAGATGGCTTCTCTGCAAGGTTCATCTAGATACAGAGAGTGGGCATTCTTTCAAATGATTTTCATTTGAAATAAAATGAAATATTGGCAAAATAAAATAACTGATTAAATAAAAGTATCTGGTATTTATAAAAAGTAGGAAAAGTATAGAAAAGACCAAACTCAAATAAGACATTACTCACATATATTGTCCAACTATAGGCATTACAAAATTTATTCTATATATTCTCATAGATAGCTGTATATAGGTGCATGTACATTATATGTTTGTGTTTTCCAAATGAGATTACATTGTGTCTATCCGTATGTAGCCTGTTTTTAATCATTTAACATCTTTTTTCACAGTATATTGTCTTCTAATACATTATTTTTTTTTAAAGATTTTATTTATTTATTTGACAGAGAGAGACACAGCAAGAGAGGGAACACAAGCAGGGGGAGTGGGAGAGGGAGAAGCAGGCTTCCCGCGGAGCAGGGAGCCCGATGGGGGGCTCGATCCCAGGACCCCGGGATCATGACCTGAGCCGAAGGCAGACGCTTAACGACTGAGCCACCCAGGCGCCCCTCTAATACATTATTTTAATAGTTCCATGCTATTTAACTACAAATGTTTCATTATTTAGTAAACCAATGTCCTGTTAGAAACCTTCAACTTTTAGGGGCGCCTGGGTGGCTATCTCCCTTTGTCTAATGATATAAGACACAGCTACAAAAGCAAGAATGGTTGGCAGGCAGAATTTGATGACATTTTTTGTAAAATCATAAAAATATTGCTAACAGATAAACTTTGTTTTAGAAATTTAAAAAGTTATTTCTCATAAGTTTATATATGTTTATTAAAATATTTTCACTTACAAATTTCTTAGGAAAAATTTCAAAGTGTAAAATAAAACAACATGTAAATATACAACATGGACATATTTACTGAGTATTAACCGTATAACAAACTCTGTTCTAGAATCTAAGGAAACACTAAAGAACGAGACAAGTAAAACGCTTGTCTTCTTGAAACCTTCATTTTAGAGCAATAAACTGAATGTCGCTAATGATGTAATGATGATTACAGAGAAAAAAGAATGTCTCACCTTATAAAATATCTCCTTTTAAAGCTGCTTAGAAAAAAGTTATTCCAAGAGCTTCATGTAAAATTCTATTTCCTTAATTTATACAAAATTGTGTTAGTTTTTCTTGTAGAGGTTTTCACTAATTTCAATATCTGAAATGTAAAAACAAATTTTTATTCATTTCACATCTTGATTAATTTCTTAAAACTTCTAGAATGGAATTTTATGGTTAAAATTTTTAAATCAGTATTTAACCAACCGAACTTCACCGCTTATGATAGTACTCATATAACAACTCCCTCAACGATACTTTTCAAGGTTTTGTTCTCAGTTTTACGGGCAAAACATACAAAAATTTTAATTTGCAGTCCACTGAGGAACAATGAAGCTCTTCATTTTCTTATTAAACATTTTCATTTTTCTTTTGTGAAGTGTTATTTATATCCTTTGTTCATTTT